TGTATTAGTATACTTAACTAAGCAAGAACTTGCAAATTTTAACAAAAGAAAAATCAAACCAAATTTACTGCTGAATTTTCCACTAAGATTAAAATTTCAGTATTGGCAAATCCCTTTTATTTTATATCTCAGCATCACTGTCAACAAACATACACCATTTTTGTCATGAAACTAGAATTATGTACATCTATGAAGATCCAACATAAATCTGAAAAATAAATAAATAAATAAATAAATAATAGAGAAAAGAGTAAGCTAGTGTCCTAAGTATGTCCCCTACCTTTTGGAAGTCTGCAGAGATGGCACCATCATTCTCTAAAGAAGTGAGTTCCTGCTCAACCTTTTCAAGACCTTTACTCACAGCTTGCATTTCCTCAGCTAAAGACTTCAATTGGATCTGGCCATTTGATAAGTAGATAGAACAAGCAATAAATTTTACAAGTCAACTAGAGACACCTCATTCACATATTACATTAAGAAAAATGCAAACCTTAGGCTACTTCCAAATGAACGAGATCCTTATCAAAATCCAGCAACTCTAGCATCTTCTCGCCAATGAGCTAATGAAGACAGGAAAGCAATTGACATACTTGGCATTTTCTTGGCAATAAGCTAGTTTCAGCGGTGTTATTTATCTTTGCTACCCCAGTAGAAGATTTCATTCAATGTTTCAGCTTCAAAGATGAAAAAAAAAAAAAATATAAGGTATTTAAATAGATTTAGTTCCCAAATCTACAGCTTAGATATACTGATGTTACTTTTATTTTGCCATTGCTATGTCTATGTAAATACATAGAAAAGATGAGCTGCTAAGATTGTCAGTGGAGGTGAAGTCTGATGATGATCTAGCAGCAGCTGCTGCTGAAGCTGGTGATGGAAGGCCAGTCTGCTGCAAAGATTTCCCATATTCTTAAACCAACACAGCATATGACAGAAACATTCTTAAAACTTTGACCCTTAATTTTCTGCAAGATACTTTAATGAAGTTTTATGTGCAAATCACCAGTGGTGTACTTAATAAAAATAGTAACAGGTGAACGCATATAAATTAGAATAGAAACACACCAATTTAACTGTAAGTTTCATTCTGCATTTACTTACCCACAACATCCTGAGAAGGCACTTCACCAGCATTAACGACAAAAATTATATTTTTCACCTTGTAGACACCCCATTTTTGACCGTCCTCAAGACTTGGACGTCACCGCTTGGAACGCTTGGTGATTATCCGTGTTTGTGTTCGTTTGGAGTTCCCGGAAGTCTCGGCTCGCGCGCCCTGCCTCAGGATCTCTGAACTTGACCGTTTAGTGTCTGGTTTCACACCAAACACTTATGTTTTGCCTTGGAAGGGCAAGGAAGGCCTTGTAAGGCATCCTCACACACCACCGACAGTGGCTAGAGGTCACCGGCTGGTCTTTTGCTTCCATCGGCACTATTTGTTGCCGGTCGGCACATTTTATTGCCGGTCGGCATAGTTTGTTGCCGGTTGGCACTCTTTTTTGTCGAAACAACTTTTTTGGGCAACCGACCACTGTTCATCCACTTTATGGACATATTTTGTGCCAGCTGTGATAGCTGGCACCAACTCTGCCTCCCTCCATACACGTGTATGGAGGGATCTCCCTCTAAGCAAGCTTGTTGTATAAGCTTTGCAAGAGGGAGTCTTATAAGAGGACGGGTCTTCCTCTTTGATCTAGGTTAGAATTTTGGAACCAAAAACCAGAGCTTTGAGATATAGATACACTCTATCTCTATATCTCCCTCTCTCCCCTCCTTTGTGTGTGTTTCCTTTGCCTAAAGGTGGTTTTTACCTTACTTTTGCACCATTACACACACTATTACACCTTACTCCGAGATTGAGGAACTTGGGGGGTTGATTCTTGAGTTTTTGGACTGGTTTTGATCAAAAGAAGAGGGCTAGACCATTTGTTCTTCAAGGGTTCTTCAAGGGTGAGCATCTTGTTTTACATTCCCCAAACTTGCAATAGTTTTTTACCTATCTTGCTTGCTGTTTTAGCTCTTGTGTATAACATAAAAAGGGCTTGTATTTTCATGCTTTAGAACTTTCATTAAGGTCGTTGTTTGGTTTGAGTGCAAACTCACCCCTCTAGGCCTTGTTTGGTCCATTTTGGTGCCTCTTTGGTAAGGCTGTGTTCACTTCAGTGTTTTGGTCCTTTCACCACTAAAAACCAGTTGATTTTCAGTGTTAGAAAAGGTGGTTTGAAGTCTTGCATAGGGGAGGGACACCCCTCTCCCTTCATTGTTTTGTTTCCTTGCTTTTTGGGCTTAAAAGGGTAGCATGTGTGCTTGATCATTCTTGGCCTCATTTCAGAAGTTTTTTAGGTGTTTTAGGTCATATGTAACCTCTGTTTTTGGTCGGATTTGTGCCTCCTTGTATGCTTGTAGTACTTGCTTTGTATTGCTCCATTTTGCTTAGAAGTGCATCTCATGATTAGGCCATGATTCTTGTGTGTGCTGGCTTAGTTCCATGAAGCTTTTAGTATTGTTTTTCCATGCTTAAAGTCTGTTGGTTATCCATTTGGTCATTCTTGACATGTTTGTTATAGGGGCTATGTATTTTGGCTTGAAAGCTTTGAGCATGTTGACCTCTAGCATGCATGGTTGTGATCACCCTCATGATTTAACATCATTTAGGACCACATTTTAGTCCAAGAATCATGTTTGTATGTGTGCATGCATGACCTCTTTTGTACCCTCTTATGCCTACATTTGAGCCTTGGTGCATACACTCTTTTGGAGTCATTTTAGCTACCATGTTAGGAGGCTTTGGAGTCCCATTCTGCATGTAAAAGGTCTGTCCTTACTTGTCTTAGTCATGCCATGAGTAGTCATGTTGGTGGGGGAAAAATGTCTCTTTTTTATGCCTTAACCTTGGGACCATTAGTTTGCTTGTTAGCATGAGTATTGGTCCACCTTTTAGACATCTTTTGGCCGCTGTTTTGGGATGGTTTAAGGTCTGCCCCTTTATGGTTCTAGGCCCCATTGCATGCTTGTTTCATATTTGTTGCATGCTTACTTCATTAAGCCTTGTAGTATATTAATCCTATTGTCAAATTGGTCCATGTTTGCATCATTTTTGCACCTTGTATGCTTGGCATTACACATTTGTCATGTTGGTTGCATAATGCTTGTTGTGCCTTGCATCTTGGTATCATGTTGCATTTTGAGCCATGTTTGCATAACATGCATCGCATTTACTTGGTTTGGGGTGTCAAACCAAGTGTGGGAATCAAGGAACATTCATACTTCAAGTGATGTAATGTGCCTCGATTCCCGGTCACCGGGGCCTTTGACTCCAACTTGATAAGGCTTCGGTTTTCATTTTGTTTGTTGCATGCATCTTTATATCAAATGGCAAATTTGATTCTTTGAATCACCATGTACCATTGATGGTTCGAGGATCGAGGGACATGCTTCCTTGAGTTCAAAACATGATAGGAAGTATGACCATGCTTACATGTGCCTGAAAGCCCCATGCCATGCACTGTCTATTCTCTGCTTGCTGTCAAAACTGTCCCTGCAGGAAGTTTCTGCCGACCGGCAGAATTCAGTGCCGGCCGGCAATTTTTTAAGGGCCGACTATCAATTCAACAGCCGATGGAAATTCTGGAGTGCCGGTAGGAATTCTGTCTGGCCGGTGGTGCTCTGCAGTGTGTAAGGAACCTGCTCCAGGACTTTGTCAATTTTCCGAGAGATAAGGCAGTACAAACAGAAGTGGCAGGGGTACGGTACGGGTTTTTCGGGCGAGCCGAGTTCCGAGCATGCATCATCTGCGCACCCCGAGGCAGAGGCTGTGGCCACCCTCCTTTCCTTTTGCATCTTTCCTTTTAATTAATTAGAAAATTCTGTAATAATTTTATTTGTTTATTATTTTGGGACTGTAATATTCATTTGGGCCCTCCGAGTGAGGGCAAATCTGTAATAAGTGTGTGTGAGTGTGTGTATGTCTTCCAATGTTTGCTGTCAAACTGTCTTCTGCAGGAAGTTTCTGCCGACCGGTAGAATTCAGTGCCGGCCGGCAATTTTTTAAGTGCCGACTATCAATTCAACAGCCGATGGAAATTCTGGAGTGCCGGTAGGAATTCTGTCTGGCCGGTGGTGCTCTGCAGTGTGTAAGGAACCTGCTCCAGGACTTTGGCAATTTTCAGAGAGATAAGGCAGTACAAACTGAAGTGGTAGGGGTACGGTACGGGTTTTTCGGGCGAGCCGAGTTCCGAGCATGCATCATCTGCGCACCCCGAGGCAGAGGCTGTGGCCACCCTCTTCTTTCTTTTGCATCCTTTCTTTTAAGTAATTAGAAATTCTGTAATAATTTTATTTGTTTATTATTTGGGACTGTAATATTTATTTGGGCCCTCCGAGTGAAGGCAAATCTGTAATAAGTGTGTGTGAGTGTGTGTATGTCTTGCAACCTCACGTCTTCCTTCCCTTTTATTTACCTGTTTACGATGGTAGATTAGGGCATGTTTAAATTCAGCATACCTTATGCTATGCATGCGTGCATTCATGCATTTGTACTGCATGTATTGGGCTCGGTACATCACGCTAACTGCATTTGTACTTCAATTTACAAATCGAATATGTGATAATTGATCGCATTACATATGTCATGCTTAGGTTAACCGAGCCTATCTAAATTACATCTTGTATGTGTTGCATTAGGCAATTTAACATGAACTAGGACACACACATTTTGCTAACTAGTTTACTGTTTTTGCATGGAGTACTAGGTAAGCTTTTATGCTTTAGCATATCGCATGCGTGTGAATGTTGCCATGATAGCATGATTACCATGAGGCTAGCTGCTTATGTGATATAACTGCTTGAATGCCTGTGGATGGAGGTTGAATTACCTAAATTGGAATAATGCATTAAAACTGTGAGTTTTAAGCCCACTAGATAATGGCAAAACCATCTTTTCTAAAAACCCACTCAAGGGTGGCAAAACCTGCATTTTAGCCTATTGAAACAAACCCTAGTAGAGGATTTCATTCAATGTTTCAGCTTCAAAGATCAATAAAAAAAACAATATAAGGTATTTAAATAGATTTAGTTCCCAAATCTACAGCTTAGATATACTGATGTTACTTTTATTTTGCCATTGCTATGTCTATGTAAATACATAGAAAAGATGAGCTGCTAAGATTGTCAGTGGAGGTGAAGTCTGATGATGATCTAGCAGCAGCTGCTGCTGAAGCTGGTGATGGAAGGCCAGTCTGCTGCAAAGATTTCCCATATTCTTAGACCAACACAGCATATGACAGAAACATTCTTAAAACTTTGACCCTTAATTTTCTGCAAGATACTTTAATGAAGTTTTATGTGCAAATCACCAGTGGTGTACTTAATAAAAATAGTAACAGGTGAACGCATATAAATTAGAATAGAAACACACCAATTTAGCTGTAAGTTTCATTCTGCATTTACTTACCCACAACATCCTGAGAAGGCACTTCACCATCATTAACGACAAAAATTATATTCTTCACCTCTTCTGAGATCACCAGTGGTGTACTTAATAAAAATAGTAACATGTGAAAGCATGTAAATTAGAATAGAAACACACCAATTTAGTTGTAAGTTTCATTCTGCATTTACTTACCCACAACATCCTGAGAAGGCACTTCACCAGCATGGTCCCCCGCGGACTTGTTACACACCTCTTCTGAGGTTCCATTCTACATAAACATTCAATTCAAATCATGAATCAGTTTCATCCTCTAATCATAATTCATAACCAAGCAATCAAAAAATCAATGAGTCATCAAATAATACTGATTATCTCCGTCTTTTTGTTTTTTGATAAGTAACTACCAGTCAATACATTGTACCACATATTAAATAATTAAACAAAACATAACAAAATTTCCAATCAATAGAATAAGCAGTAATGCTTTTTGTCAACGTTTTCAACAATAATAATTGAAACCCCTTTTCAATTTCAATTCATTTACACCACCAAAACAATCAAGATCTAATTCCTCGGTAAACAACAATACAAAACATTTTAAACATCAGATTTTATTCAATTAAGACTAATACATCATCTATAATCCAAAAAAAATAAGGCGAAATCTCACCTAATTTAATCATCATCTATTAAATAATTAAACATCATCTATTAAATAATTAAGACTAATATATCATCTATCATCAGAATAAACATCAGATTTTAATGGACAAATCTCTAGATTATGAAAAAAACATATACCCAATCAGTTTGTTTCACACCAAATCTCACCTAATTTATAATCCAAAAAATAAGAGAGTTCTTTTACTCTTCTTCATTTCTAATCATTTCTTACCAAATCACCCAATCCAAACAGACAGTTAGAAACAGGAACAATCAATCATATATATATATATTCATAAATTTTGATGAAGAAATCATACTACAAGTGAGATGGTGAGTGTGTATGTACGTCTAATCTGATTCTATACACACAAGTGAGATAGTGAGTGTGCATCATGTGCTATTTCATCCATAACCAACTGAAAGCACTCAAGAATGTATCCAAATGTAAACTACTTTATCTCACCTTCAGGCTTATGCGCAATGAATTTATAGACGTTTCAGTTAAGCATTTTTCGGCCTCATTTTGATATATTAAAACCTGAGAAAGGAAGTGCAAAAATCTGGATTAGGTCCATGGACAGCAATCAAATCGTTGAAAACCATATTGAATTAAATATAATGAAAAACCACCAAGTATAGATAGGTTTCACCTATATAAACTTCGAATTGCAAGAGGTACTGAAATATAGGAAGTTAAGAGTTGGGGCTAGAGTGCATTACAAACAATTAAAAAAAACTACGATTGGCAATCCATAGCATGTTACATAACCAAATCAATAGAAATTTCCATTGAAGAGCTATAAACACAACACAATTCAAAATACCTCACAAGGTCCTGTCTCTCTATGAATCCTTGCTGCTTGAGATCATAGAGTTGAAATGAAACTGCAAGGGAGAAAAATTTAAGTTAATTGAATAGAAATCAAATCAAAATCAAAACCCTAGAAATCAAAATCAAAGAGAGATGAGAGAGGAGAAACTGAATTAATCGAATAAGGCATGCAATCCAAGGCTCTCACCGAATTAATCCAAGGATCTTACCGAATCAATCGATTGGTGCTCATGTAACTAACATCATCGGAGGGGCAGTGGCTGGTGGTGGTAGTCTACAAATAACTCGGACTTTAAAATGTCACTATGCAACTAGGCAACACCATTCACCTGCAGACAGACGGCCAACGAGATAAGTCACTTTTTCATTTCCAAATGAAATTGATCAACAAATTATAAGAGGTCGTACATGATTAGTGGATCAAGGGCTTAACAAATGAGCATGACTACGGGCATATGACTAAATAAAGGCAAGGAAGCAAATGTTATACATTCTTTAGCTCATTTACTAATATTTTCAGTTTTTTACATAACAGGTGATTAATATGTTGATAGTCTCTCTCCTTTATATCTTGTATCAGATCTGTCAACTGGCTGAATCAAACCCGAATGCTATTTTTTTCAAGGTTAACTATGAATAGTAAAGAAGTTAACTATGAGGCAGGGGCTGCCAGATTCAAGTTATGTCTGGATTCAGTAAACTTCCTCGATGTGGACTTTGGAAAAATGAAACTATCTTTTTAGCTATGAAAATTTCATAACTTGAGAATTATTATCTTTGTTTCAGTGAGGTTGAAAATTGGATGTGTATATGTATGTGTATGTGTTTAATATACTTTTCAAAACCCAGCTTAAGTTAGAACCCAAATTTTTCATTTTTTTTCTCAAACAAATATAAACAAATATATGGCCTGGTATTGCTCAAATTAAAACACATAAATAATAAGTCTCAGATAAGTAGCTCCTACAATGCAACGATTTCACAAATATGCTGATACAATCAAAACTAACACATTTATTAACCAAAACAAAAATAGAAAGCAGAAAAAGCATAGAGACATTAGAAAGTGAAACTCTGATGAATTTTAGATTTGAGCATATAATCAAACACGTGGTGGGCAAAAATTTTCACAAAGAGGAAGAAAACAAGGAGGAACATACAAGAGAACAAGAAGGAAGAAAACATACGTGGTGTTTCAGAAGGTAGAACATACACAGATATATATATGTCTATATATATATTGTATAGCGATTCCGATTTTCCCTTTCTGTATTTGTTGTATTCCAGACTTTGGTTCCATGGAGTTGGTGGTTGTATATCTTGTTGTTATCCTTTAATTCCATGTGTTTGAGTTTTAGAATCTTTTGGGTAGGTGTATTACAGGTTGGTTGAGCCTAAGTCTCGAATCTTGTTGCCCAGTTTTCAGGTGATCCGCTCGAGCGGGGTTTACTCCCTCTCAGTATTTCGTGCCTCTGCAAAAACTTTTGCAGGTGTGCTTTTTACACTCTTACGCTGAATGGGTCGCGCTCGAGCGGGCCTAATGGCGCTCAAGCGGGTGGTTAATTGTCTGTAAAAGTTCTGGGGGTGGTGGATCTACACTCGAGTGGACTGGTTTTCACGCTCGAGCGGATGTACTTTGCTTTTGTGTCTTGGCGCTCGAGCGGGCCTTTTTGCGCTCGAGCGGGTTCAGTTTTTTGTGTTTGATGCTCGTGCGTTTTATTTTCTGCTCGAGCAGGTCATACGTATATCGGTAGACAACAACAGAATTACACTTCACTTTTTCATTCTCTCCTTTATACAAACCCTAGATCTAAGCTCTCTCTCTCTCTACAAACCTTCTCTCTAAGGTTTCATCTCCTTCTAGTGAGTTCCTAACCTAGCCCCTTTGTATAAAAGATAGAGGGTGCTGAGGGCTTTATTTTAATCTGGAAATTTCTGAATTTGCAGCACGTTGGGTTTTGGTCTGCATCTCCGTTTGAGCTCTAACTTCGAGGTAGGGATATCCTACTCCATCTTATGAGCTTTGTCTTTAAATTTTGGCATTTTGATATCTTGGGGTTGTGGGGTAATATTGGAAAAGTTTGGGATCTTTGTGTAATTTACAAAAAAGGGGGTTTTCATTTATATAAACCCATATGTATGTAATACTTTGAGAAAAGGAATTAATGTTGGATTATTGATGAAAATGGAACCTTAGGGTTGATGTTGAGAATATGGGGAAAAGCCCTAATTGTTATGATAAATTAATTTGTATAATTAATTTTGGGAAATGAGAAATTGAATAGTAATTATTCAAATTGGAAAGGTATGGGATTAAAGGGTGTAGGTGGATTAATTTATCGCTCACCTAGATGAAATGTTGATATTTTATCCATTTGGAGCATTTAATTTCTATTTAGAAATAACTGCTTTGGGCTATCGGTGGAGGATAGTCGTGATTGTTGTAGACAATGCATGATGATTAGGCGAACTAAAACTAATCAATTGAGTATGCCATAAAATATGGTGGTTGGTATAATACATCGAAATTGTGTATTGATTGAGTGAACATGTATATGATAATTGCTTATATACATTGTGTTATATGGGAGGAGATAGGGGATGTACTCCACGGTTTAGGGGAAGATAGGGGATGGACCTCTAAACCGGATTTTGTTTGACATTGATACAACACTAAAATGTGTATCATTTGTGAAGTATGGAAGTGATTTTGGCTGAGATTGATACAACACCAAAATGTGTATCTATTATGATATAAGAAATGTTTAACATGAGTTGTTATCCCAATTGAATTGGAAATATGGTTAATAAGAGATGTAATCTCTGTCGGATTATCTGGCCAGGTTCTGAGCCACGTTTTGAAATGAAATATAACATGGACATGATTGTCATGGAATTGTAATGTGATGTAAGTGGATGTATAAGTGTTGACCATCTATCAACTGCTAATATTTTAGTCATTGTTTATAGTTGGTTTAGTATATTTCTACTGGGTTGTGGCTCACCCTATATGGGACATCATTTTCAGGTTCATGTACTATGCCGCCTCCGAGATCTTAGCATGGATCATTGTGGGAGTTAAAGACTCTTTTTGTTAATTTTTGTTGTATTACATGTATATCAAGCCAAGGGCTTCTTTTGTGTAGAGTTAGTACTCTCTTCTTTTGTAACCAAGCGTTGACTTGGAAAGTTGTAAGCCTATAGGGCATTTACTTTTGTCATCAACATGTAATACTTTTGTAAAAACACTCTGATGATTGTACTATAGTATCTCTTTTCTTTATTGTGATTGTATGATATTATGGGTTTATTTTGAGGGCATTACATATTGAGATTGCAAGAATACACCTCAATCTTCTACAAATATCACATACTGCCATCACCGTTTCACCATCAAATTCTTGCAACTCCCAAGTCAACAAACACATCTATTTGAAAAACTTTCACTGCTAAGTTGCAGTTTTTTGTCTTCTTTACAAACGGTGGAACTATATAGCTCATTTACAACAACGATGGAACTATAGCTTTCTTTCAACTCCATGGACAAGTCAAGCAATAAACAGGTAGACCACACTCGTGATTCAAATTCAGATTTTTAACAAGAAGAAAAGTACAAAGCTAAAGATACAATCAAATTGAGAATCAATAATTAAATAATACAGCGAACAACGATGAAAGATACTCACAGTGGAGATGTCATGGATTAGAATCACGTATTTGAAACTCTCCTCCACCATTCGATGGATTGATTGATTGATTAATTGAAGGAATGATCGATTGAGAACACAGAGAGAGGATGCGAGATCGAGAGCAATCGAGAGAGAGAGGGAGAGAAATCCCGTATCGACACAGAAATTCAATTTTTTATATGGGAATGTCTTCTTGTTGACTTGAACCCTAATCAAACCAATCATTTATAGCACTATTCCCCCCCCTCTCTTTTTTTCCTTCCAATTTTTGGTAAACTGCTGCTTAATTCATGTTTGTTGAAATATATGAAAAAGATGTTTAGAGATTTATTGTTATATTTTATTTTTATGTTTGTATAAAAATCTTAAAATATTTTAGCTTAGTGGCATTTCTCAAAATGCTATAAAATATTATTTATAACACTTTTCGCCGAATGCCATAAAAAGTGACTTGCACCAATCTAGTTTAGTGACATTTTTTAAAAAATGCCATTGCTATTAAAGTTTAGTGGCATCTGTTGATAAATGTCACTAAACAAATTTTTTGTGTCATTCTTTTTATAAAATGACATAAAATTGATATGACATTTCTTTATTGAAATGCCACTAAAGCCTTATATGTTTGTTGTTCAGTGGCCTTTTTCTAAATGTGTCACCAAATATTTTTTTCGTGGCATTTTCTAAAAATATGCCACTAATATAGTGTCACTAAAGTGTATTTTTGTTGTAGTTTTGTGACACTTATTTATTGAAATGTCACTAGAGCCTTTTATGTATGTCGTTTAGTGGCATTTTTCAAAAACGTGCCACCAAATATTATTTTTGTGACATTTTCTAAAAATAAGCTACTTGTGTAGCGTCACTAAAGTGTGTTTTTGTTGTAGTGTACGCAGGTTATTGTGCGCTGTTACGCACTTATTTTCTAACTTGCGCTATTACGCACTTATTTTCTAACTTGCACTGTTACGCAGGTTATTGTGCGCTGTTATGCACTCATTATCTTAACTTGCGCTGTTACGCAGGTTATTGTGCACTGTTACGCACTTATTTTCTAACTTGTGCAGGTTATGTGTGCTGTTATGCACTCATTTTCTAACTTGCGCTGTTACGCAGGTTATGTGCGCTGTTACGCACTCATTTTCTAACTTGCGCCGTTACGCAGGTTACTGTGTGCTGTTACGCACTTATTTTCTAACTTGCACTGTTACGCAGGTTATTGTTCGCTGCTACGCACTCATTATCTTAACTTGCGCTGTTACGCAGGTTATTGTGAACTGTTATGCACTTATTTTCTAACTTGCGCTGTTACGCAGGTTATTGTGCACTGTTGCGCACTTCTTTTCTCTAACTTGCGCTATTACGCAGGTTATGTGCGCTGTTACGCACTCATTATCTTAACTTGCACTGTTACACAGGTTATGTGCGCTGTTACGCACTTATTTTCTCTAACTTGCGCTGTTACGCAAGTTATGTGCACTGTTACGCACTTACTTATCTACTTATTTACTTGCGTTGTTACGCATGTCTACTTCTTTACTGGCGCTATTATGCATGTCTACTTATTTACTTGCGTTGTTACGCATGTTTTTGCTTGCGCTGTTACGCGCGCTCTTCTTCTTTTAACCTGCGCTGTTACGCATGTTTATTTTCTTAACCTACGCTGTTACACATGTTTTACTTGTTTAACCTGCGTTGTCTCGCATGTTCATATCTTTAACTTGCATTGTCACGCATGTTTTATTTCTTCTATTTGCACTGTATCGCATGTTTTATTTGTTTTACTTGCGTTGTCTCGCATATTTTCTTTCTTTAAACCTGTGCTTTTACGCACGTTTTATTTCTCTAACTTGCGTTGTCTCGCATGTCATATCTTTAACCTGCGCTGTTACGCATGTTTTATTTCTTAACCTAAGCTGTTACGCATGTCTTATTGTTTAAAACCTGCGCATGTTTTACATGTTTTATTTGTGTTGTTTCGTATTTCTATGACCTGCGTTGTCTTGTATGTTTTATTTGCATTGTTTCGCATGCTTTATTTGCGCTGTTACCTATTTCTACTTGCGTTGTCACGCATGTTCCACTTGCGTTGTCTCGCACCCACAGGATTGCATTGTTTTGCACTCCTCGACTTGCGTTGTCGCGCACTTTTCACTTGAATTGCTACGCATATTTCTAACAATATTGTACCTGTTGAGTCTCTTTCTTTTACAGGTACGATATTGTATGTACGGTTCATTGGGAGTTGGCACGACCAAACGGACCGCACGGTATTGTATGCACCCCACGATAGACGTGGTAAGAATTGCATAATTTTCTTACATCATTCTTGTCGGAATATGTAGGACTGTTGTTCGCTTAAAATGTTGCATTTATTTTGTATAACTGCTTCATTACAGTTTTTTCTTTGCATAATTGTAAGTTATGCTCTTGCATCTTGAATATCATTTGCATTATGCCCCAGCCTACGGGCGCATCTCTGCATGCTTATATTGATTGTCTGCCAGAGTCTTCGGCCTTGTTAAAAATGGGTCGTCTCTGGGCTTTTGCACTCACTCTCGTCACTTTGTGACTTTCGAGTTCTGTCAAAGAGGGGCAACTGTAGACACCCCATTTTTGACCATCCTTAGGACTCGGTTGTGCTTGCAGGTACATCCGGACACGAGTTCGATTGCTTGTCGGGCATTCGACTTTTGCAGCGGAACATCACAGGTTCGAGCTTTCCAGACCCTGTATCCTTTCTGCCCCATTCTTGGACCATGACTTGGTCCTTTCTGCACCTTTCTCCTGATGCACTGTCGGCCATGGTTTTGTTGCTACCGGCCACTGATGACGCCTACCGGCCATCAGTGAACCACTACCAGCCATCATCACTGATGGCCGGCAGAACCCCTGTCTCAGCTGGTTTTACTCCAGATCTTTTGAGCTAGCTGGAATCCTTTTGTCTGCCCTCCATACACGTGTATGGAGGGATGAAGCTCTTGCCTAGCTTCTTGAAGAAGCTTTGCATTGTTTTCCTGCTATATAAGGAGAGAGCCTCTCTCCATAGAAGAGGTTCAACACTTTTACAAGAGATATAGCTCTCACTCTCTCTATATATATTTCTTGCTCTCTCTCTATATTGTTTTAGTTTAGTCTATTTTCCTTGCACTTTTACTCAGCTGGTTTTACTCCAGATCTTTTGAGCCAGCTGGAATCCTTTTGTCTGCCCTCCATACACGTGTATGGAGGGATGAAGCTCTTGCCAAGCTTCTTGAAGAAGCTTTGCATTGTTTTCCTGCTATATAAGGAGAGAGCCTCTCTCCATAGAAGAGGTTCAGCACTTTTACAAGAGATATAGCTCTCACTCTCTCTATATATATTTCTTGCTCTCTCTCTATATTGTTTTAGTTTAGTCCATTTTCCTTGCACTTTTACACTACAACACATAGAGATACACCACCACCATTGGACTGAGGTTCTTGGGAAGGTTACTTGAGGTCTAAAAGTGAGTTTTTACTCCCTGAGGTTGTTGATCTCGAAGTTAGCCTTCAAGGATGAGTATTTTCCCCATTTTAGCACTTTCTTGTACCTCATTTTGGCCATCCTTGCACTTTGTTTTAGGCCTTGCTTTCAACTGAAAAAAGTCTTGTATTTAAGTGCTTTTGATAGTTGTTTAAGGTCTTTTTGCTGTTGAGGGTCTTCAACCCTCTTGTTTGCCTTGTTTGGCCTTGTTTTGAGCCATGCCTTAAGGCCTCCGAGCTAGCCTTGGTTTGGCTTTCTAACCACTAAAATCCAATGGATTTTCAGTGCTAGGCATGTGGTTTTGAGGTCTCAAATCAGAGGGGGTGGCCCCCCCTCTCTTTGTGTTTTGTTTACTTGCATTTTTGGCCTTCCAAAGGAGCTTGCCTCTATGTATTTTTGAGGTTAGGTTCAGGCCAAATTTTTTGTGACTTTTAGGACCTGCCTTAAGTCTGTCCATGGCTGGTTTGGTCATATTTTGCATGCATCTTACATGTGTAGTGCAATCCCATGTGTAGCTCATTAAAGTGGCATGTCTTTCTTACATGTGTTGGCTCCATTTTAGTAGATTTTTGGTGATGTTTTACCATGCCTTAGATCTTTTTTGGGTTGGTTTTGTCACTCCATGCATGCATGATACACTTGTAGTGTAAATCTCCTAAACTAGTCTTGTATGCTTTTTGCTTTAGCATGTCATCTAGCTTATGTTGAGCCCATTTCAGCATATTTTTTGTGATGTTTTTCCATATCACGACTCTGTCTAAAGTGAGTTTGTCATCTTTTGCATGCTCCATATACTTGTAGAACAAATCTTGCTTACTGGCTTCATGTGCATGATGTTTTGACTCATCATCCTAGCATGTTTTGGCTTTGCTCCAGCATGATTTTATCCTTGTTTTGGGCTATTCTTGGACTGTTTTGGGCTGCCATGGCCATATCACTCATGCTTTGTATAGCTATAGTGTAAATGCTTAGGCTAGTCTTGGGTTTTGAGGCCCCTACCATGCCATGCATGTGATGTCCGCATGCTTTGCCATCATTCTAAGTGTTATTTCAGTCCATGAAATGTGGCCATATACTTGCATTCTCCATGTTTTTAATGCCTTGAACTTTTGGCTCTTTATGCCTCAAGAATGAACTTTTGTGCATGCCATTAAACCCAAGCCTTTGGCTCATCATTTCAGTGCATTTTTGGTCTTATTATACCATGATGTAACTCTATTTTATGTTGTCCAAGTCATGCCATGTTTGGTTTCAATAGGTGTAGTGTAATTCCTCTTTGTAGCTTTACATGTTCCATGTTTTCGGACTTGTGTTCTAGCTTGTGTTGGCTAGCTTCGAGATTGTTTTTGGTCTGATTTGGACCTTCCTTGGGACTATTTTAGGTCCCCTTGGCCCTTTGGGGCTTGGTTTGTATGGCCATGCCTTAAGTCCCTTTACTTATTTTGAGCTTTGAGCATCCTAACATGCCATACTTGCATTGTTGAATTGATTTGGCATCAATTTACATGAGATTCCAGAGCTTAGGGTGCTATTACATATCCATGCTTGTTACTCTTTAAGTGTCCTTAAGAGTTACATCATTATGTCTTAATCCTTGAGCCAATTGGCATGCATGTTTGTCTTGCCATTTCGTGTTCTTCATACCATCATTTCAACACTTTTGGCCACTGATTTTAG